ACGGAGACTTGCCACGGTCTCCAACCCTCCTCCTTTCTCATCCGGGCTTGGGACCGGCCATTGCGGAGTTTGATTTAAGCATTTCCGGGTAAATTTCATAGATTCCAGTAGCCTTTTCTATTTGAATTTTTTCACAGCTTGTGTGATTTCATCTGCAGAATCATCAACATTATTTCATCTACTTTTGCCTGCTGCTCTTCAGCGGAATCTTCCTGCCGTTGTTCGGGGATAAGTAGTTCCTGAAAGTACTCTCTCTGTCGCTGATATTATCTTCTATAAGAGGGCGCCCAGAATTGTCTTTTAGGACTCTCAAACTGCCCTTCCTTTCACCTCAGAGTCGGCGGATGGTATGTCAGAATATCTGTTTTCCGCCTGAAAATTCCAATAGAGTTTGTCACCGAACGTCTCCCAGGAACAAGCTTTTGCTTTCACCACTGATGTCGTTGCCGCCTTGCGCGCTTCTCTATATCGCATGCAAGTTGAATGCTCTTTCCTTTCGAACCATCTCTTAGATACAACCTGGGTAATAGCTAGTTGTATCTCTCATGTCCACTTGGAAATTCGTTTTTGACCGGCAGGCGACAGGACAGACGGTTTTAAGCCGCGGCATTCAAAGACAGTCCGTGTAAACCGTCTATAAATCGCTTTCACTCGGTTTCCATATCAATTGTCATAACTGAAATCTGTTCAAACCGTCTTGCGATGTTGTTTGCAAGTTTCGCTCTATTATCCGTCGAAGGTGATGTTTTCCATTTGATACTCTAGTTGTTTCTGCCACTATATCTTCGTATGCTACTCCATTTCTCCAAACTTAGCGTGCCGACAACAAGGTAGCGACTGGTTGGTAGCTCTGCGCCTCTCTTAACTCGAATATCCATTACAGAGCGTCGTAACTCACATGGTACGATTATTAAATCGATCATCGAATTCTGTGCACAAGCTTCTCTATGTTACGCAAAGCCGCAACAACTTCTTACCGCTATTGTTGACCTTATTAATGCGATCTTTACGATCACGCCTGTTCAGTTTTAAGTGTCTACGCAGGCACTCACTTTAAATTCGTCCATTAGCATGAGGGACTCCATAGTCGCCACTTCGTACAGAGCATCTTCCAATTCCTCATGGAAGGACTCATATTCTCCCTCCAAATTGGACCCAAAGACCTCTGACAAGGTCAGAGCTTTAGTATGTTGTAATTTGATCCCGACGAATGTCACTGTTTCGCCGACAGGCTTTCATTCAGTGATTCTTTTAGTCTGGATTCAGCCAAAACGTCAATACCAGCCTAAACGGGTGTCATTGTGTCGACATTTGAGTGAAATTGGTGCCACCGGTTCAGGACTTCATAGCCTTGGCGCTTCACTGACGAGAAACCAGTGTCGAGTTAGTACCTTGCGGCTTTCCCAACTAGCTTCTGTTGTTTCATTCTGAGTGAGTATATATTCTAATTTTCGAATGTAAGCTCCAACTGTCGGTGTCTTTTTCTTGAAGCCTTTTCTGACGTTGTATAATGGCATCGCTCTGTCTGCCGCCTCCTTTTTGAGCAGGTGGCAGTTCCATTGCGAACTGGTATCTTCGTTGTCGTTTTGTCGATCATTTTGGGCAGCCGTCGTCGCGCTGCTACGGCTACAAATTCCAGAATGTTGTGACTGTCGACGTTTCTCAGCCAGTTGCATTCGCCCAACAGCTTATGTGGTACTTGGCCCGTGTAACGACCAGACTCGTATAATGTTCGGTTACAATAGTATCATGTATCAGTGCAGGTGACAAAGTTTTACGGAGACCTCGCCACCTTTGCCAACCATTCTTGTTTCTCATGAGGGCTTGGGGCATGCACTGCCAAAGTTTGACCATCGTCCATCGTTATTTTAATTCAGATGCATTGCCATGACGCTAACCGTTTTTCAGTGATTGCTTCGGTCATTCGTGACAGCATGAAGGCTTCGTTAATACGGATTTTGTCGCCTAAGCGCCGCGTTGACATACTGCGTGATGTCATGGCCGCCAAGGAACAGGGCCGGCCCTATACGATGGTTTTCTGCGGTGTGAACGGCGTTGGCAAGTCTACCAATTTGACAAAGGTAAGGGAATCGAAGACCGATTGTTTTGTTTTGCGTTTGTTGTCTAACTTGAAAACTGCAGAATGCCGTCTTGTTGATCATGAACAAGTTTACTTGTTACTTAAGTTAGCAGAATTTGTGTATAATTATAATTTAGAAACGTCGTAGCAATCCCTGATCCATTGGTATAGAAATGAGTATGTTATACACAAGAACATGCAAACTACACAATGCGGAGACAAGGAATAAAAGTTGCTAAATATTTGATGAATTGATGTATAAAAAGTTGATGAGGATGGAGATAAAGAAGAATGTGTTAACATCGGATCGAAAGGATCGATCTAAGCAGATTCCACCTTTCCAGTTCCTTGTTCTGCAGAGTCCGACCCATCTCAGATTTTCTGCACGCTTCAATCCTCATACAGTTGCAGTCTTATGGGACTTTGCGGAATAAGATAGAAATGCAGTTGAAAGAGCATGGTGCAAATGATAGATGACATTGGTTGGAAAAAAATTACCCAGCTTTACAATTGGTCTTACGGTCTGATCTACTACGACGTTTATGATGTTCATGTAGAACCGCTCATTTGCTCCGGTGGCAGAATCAATGTAAATTTTCCTACGTCTACTTTACAAAGACAGAAGACGTATATTGGTAAACCTTATGTAGTTTGAGCATGCAAGTTCAAAGAAACATTTCCCAGATTGCTTTGTTCGTTTGCTGTAAAGGTACCCATTTCATTGCATCGTTTTACTTTGATGACTGCATTCTTTTCGATTGTACTGAAGTCTTTCGCCGATGCACAGAGACTTTCGCCTATGATTACACCAAGGTAGGTTGTTCAGAGAACCTGATCTATCTTCGGGTTCTAAAATGAAATAGAGGTGACGAGTCGTTTTGTTAATGCATTATAGGAATTCTTGTTCCGCATTTTCGTTTGCGGTTGAGTTCATTTGCAGCAGCAGAAAACTATCACCTAGTTCACATTGAAGAAGGCAAATGAGATCCATGTTGAAGCATAAGTCTTGTTCTGTCACACTGTACATTACTATATTCATTGATTGTGATAGGTGGCGTAAATGGGATACAGCGATAATCGTCTGGTGCTAGCGCTGCGTTCCCGAGGGAAGCTTCATTTTCTCAAATTAATCGTTATTTCAGAATATAGGCTCACAGTTAATTCGCATCTTGTAGCACCTGAACCTATTCACCGTAGCGAAATTTTCATGCACCTGAAAGAAACAGATTTTGTCTTCGTTAGAACTTTGGATCACAATGACACTATCTACAACAATTATTTTAGAAATAGCTATTTTAAACATGATAGTTGATTGAGTGATTTTGGTATAACGATAGTATATTAGCATTTTTTGGTTTCCATCCCCCATTTCAGTTTATTAAAATCTTTTGTCATATTCACAGATTGCATTTTGGTTGAACGAGAACAACTATTCTGTGCTAATTGCGGCATGCGATACGTTTCGTGCTGGCGCCGTTGAGCAGTTGAGAACACATACGAAACACCTAAATGCGCTGCACCCGGGTCGGGCTCAGCTCTACGAACAGGGCTACGGCAAGGATTCTGCCGCCGTTGCAGTCCAAGCTATCAGTTTTGGTAATGTTTGATTATGGCATAATTTCAAAATTTAATTTCTTAGCCTGGTTCTTAAAGTTGTTTTATTAACATTTGCCCGAAGTAGGAAGTAGCTAATCGATTTGACGTTAACTGAAACTACTGTGGTGGTAATGTTTCTGTAAATAAGTGATTTTACATCGTCTTTTTAATTGTTACCTTTAACCATGGATCGGGAGGCTAAAACCATAAACTGTTATTATAACAGGCAACGAATGGATGCCTCATTGCGTACCTGTTTTAATTGTTTTGAAACAGCTAATTTTGTTTAGCAACGGAGCAGAACATCGACGTTGTTCTGATCGATACTGCTGGTCGTATGCAGGACAATGAACCATTGATGAGATCACTGGCAAAGGTATTGCTTCCAAGAAGATAGTATTGGAAATGCAGTGTAATTGACAGGTTTCGCATTTAGCTGATCGTTATCAACAAACCAGATTTGGTGCTGTTCGTTGGCGAGGCACTGGTCGGCAACGAAGCTGTAGATCAGCTGACGAAATTCAATCAGTCGCTGTGCGACCACAGTTTTGGAGGCAGTAACCCGCACTCCATCGATGGCATCGTTCTGACAAAATTCGATACAATCGACGATAACGTAAGAATTTTGACAGAAAACAAAAAAGACAGAAATGCACTTATAGACTAACGAGATTTCTGGCTGATCCTTACTTAAAAAAAATCTTTTCTGCACGCATTAGAGTACTAATTCATGGAAATCAGACCAGTATTACTTTTGTCTGGTAAGAATTTTAAGACGATGTTTCTGACGATGTTGGTCCTACAGCTACACATACATTTA